AAGCTGCAGCTGTGATTTCACAGCTATAGCTGTGGCAACTCCTTCAAGCTTAAGGAACCTCCAGCGCTGCAGCTGTGAAGCCACAGCTATGGCTGTGGATCTCTGGAGTTTTTGCTGGGTCCTGGGTGCTTCCATGGCTTTAGCTGTGAGTCCACAGCTTTAGCTTCAACTCTCTGGAACTTCAAATTGCATTTCAGATTTCCACAGCTATAGCTGCAGATCCACAGCTATAGCTCCAACTTTCTGGATTTCTAATTCCTTCCCAGACTTCCACAGCTCGACAGAGAGCGAGAACGTAAAAAGAGAGCGAGAAAGAAAGACACTGTTTTAGGAACAATTTTATATCTCTACTAAGGTAAGGGGAAGGAGAACTTTATCTCATTAAAATTTTATATACTACTATGTTTATTTATTTATGTTATTTTTTATGTATATTTATCTAGTGGAGTGTCTCTAACCTCATTTATTTGCTTAATCTATGATTATTGTTATCCATAATAATTATTAATATGTGCATATTTTATATTTTTTAATTATTTTATAATGATTATCATTGTCATTTAATTAATTGGTGCTCTTAATATATTTTATTTACGTATATGTTATTTAGTTAAAGCTTAAATAATGATAAATTCTCAAGTTTATTTAGCGTGATTATTTTTATGATTGATTATAATATAATTTTGTTAAAATGTCTTTGACTCGTTTTAAAGATAAATATTATTCTATGGCCATAGAAGATAAAATTTGAATTATTTGTAGTTGGAGGTTTGACCTTGGGGATTTAAATGAGTAAAGAATGAAGGTGAAATATCCTTTCGTTGGTTGTTATTATAATAATGCTCATTTATCCTGACTAGTTACTACAAGTATAATTCAAATTTTAATGTTAATCATCATTAATATATTTTTTAGTATTAATTATTGCTACGCATGTTATGTGATTATAAAAATTTATTTAAAAACTGTTCTCACTCCTTATGTTTCTTGTGTAATATAATCATAAAAATAATTAAATAAATATAGATGGATGTTCCAGCAATTCCAACTCCTTTTCCTTCAGTAATTTCTGCAGTCTTCTCTGGCACAACATGGAGTGTTGATGCTGTAGCCAACTCAGTTACTTTCAATGGAGTAGCTGTGTCTTCATTCACTTTTTTTCCAAATCAAGAAATTCCAACCATGATAGATGGGGCCATAGTTGTTACTTTTTACTTACCTCCAGTAAATCATGTGAATCCTATTGTAAATTTATTTCAAGCACCCATGTAAATATTATAATAGAAGTAGAAAAAGAAACTATGATATGTAAATAGGCACGTATTGTAAATGTTTTCAATAATATGTAATATATATAAAAGTAAGCAACTACGCACGTAGTGGTAAATATTTATGGTATGATATGATGTATAATATTATTACTATACATGTGTTTTCTAGCTAGAATTATTATATATATATATATACGTATATTACTGAGATTAATATTAATATGACTAGGCGTTACATTTTAATGGTATCAGAGCAACGTTCCATGTGTAACTTGGGGAAATGTGCTAACCATGTTTCTAGTATAATAAACTAACTTATAAAAATTTCAGATGGCAGGAAGGAAAAATACAGAACTGACTGAGGCTGTGCAAGCTATTAGGGACATGGCTGCCGCCTTGTTAAGGAATCAACGACCGGAAGGAATGGGGGAGTCACAAGGATTAGTGGAATTTAGGAGAAATAAACCTTCCCAATTTGACGGAGGTATAAACCTGAAAAGGCTGAATTATGGATTAAAGAAATAGAAAAGTTATTTAGAGCCATGAACTGTTCTGATAACCAAAAAGTAAATTATGCAGTGTTTATGTTAGTAGGAGAAGCAGAATATTGGTGGGATAGTACTAGAAGACTATTAGAAGGAGGAGGAATAATTATTACATGGGAAGTATTTAGAGCTAAATTTTTTGAAAAATATTTTCCTAATGATGTTAGGAGGGCTAAAGAAATAGAATTTATGCAATTAAAACAAGGGAACATGACAGTGGGAGAGTATGCTTCCAAGTTTGAGGAATTGGGAAAGTATTCTACTTTCTTTTATCATCCTGATGAGAGAATGAAGTGTATTAAATTTGAGGATGGACTTAGACCAGAATTAAGAAAGGCAGTAGGAATATTAGAAATTTCTGATTTTCCCACATTAATACACAAGTGTCATTTTCTGGAAGGTTTTGATCACAATAAAGATAACAGACCAAAATCTTTTGGTCCTCAGTTTAACAAGAAAAGGAATAATGAAGGAAAACCTTATGATCGACCTCAATGGAAACCCCAATCTTCTCAATTTGCAGGAAATTCCAGTGGACCCATGAATAATCAAGCTAAGTGTCTTAAGTGTGGACATGGTCATTATACTAAAGACTATCATCTCAAAGGACCTGTTTGTTTCAAGTGTGGAAAGCCGGGTCATGTGTTTTCTGAGTGTGGACAACCAAAGGCGCACGCGAATACTTCTGGACTCACACTGAGACCTCCTACAACTGGGAGAGTTTATACCATGACCGGAATTGAAGCTGCTCAAAACAACGATCTAATACAAGGTACATGTTTCATTAAAGGCAAAACTTTACATGTACTGTATGATTCAGGCGCAACTCATTCTTTTATCTCCAATGATTGCGTTCAACACCTTCAATTGTCAGTTTCTTCTTTAGAGTCTAATCTAATTGTTTCGACCCCTACAAACAAATCTGTAATTGCCAAAAAAGTTTGTTTAGACTGTCCTATTTTTATTACTGATAGAAAATTTCTTGTAAATTTGATCTGCTTACCTTTATCACAATTCACTAGTAGAAAATAAGCATATTACGTCACCCCTTTTACGTCAGAAATACGAAAATATGACGTAAAAAAAATGCGGTGGCATTTTTGTAATTTTTGCGAACTTTTTACGTCGCACCTGGTAGGGTCTGACGTAAAAAGTCTAATCTACGTCGGAGGTATGTTTGTCCGACGTAGATTTGACATTTTACGTCAGACCCTACCAGGTCCGATGTAAAAAAGACGCAAATTTGAATAAGAGAGCGTGAGGCACAGCGCGCGCATTCACTTTTCATCACTTTTTGTTTTTTTCTCTGTAAACCCTCTCCCTCTCCTTTGTTACTGAATCGTTTTTTTGTTTTTTGCAGAGGGATGAACTCTTTGTTACTCATTTGAACATTGTTGCTGCTCCTCAGGTATGAAACAGGGTTTCGTTAGCACTTTTCTACTTAGCATTGCTACTCTGGCTATCTGTTTTATTCGATTTTTTGGTTGTTCTATTTGTATGGGTAGTGGGCGTTTTTTTTTGTTGTTCTACGAAACAGAATGGCTTGTTCTGCAAGCAGAACGGCCTGTTCTGCAAGCAGAACGGCCCGTTCTACAAGCAGAACGGGCCGTTCTGCCTGCATTCTTATGTTTGTTTTTTTTTTGTTTTTTTACTACTTTTTGACGTCGGATTTCGTAATGTCTGACGTAAATTTACGTCGGGTTTGTAGGTCCGACGTAAAATTTACGTCTCCCGCTTCTACGTCAGTATGTTTTCTGACGTAAAAAGCCTAAAATATCCGACATAGTACACCTCTTTTGTACTAGTGATTAGATGTGATTTTAGGTATGGACTGGTTATCTTCCAATCATGTCCTTCTCAATTGTGCAGAAAGGTCTGTAATGTTTTATGATTCTAAGGACCTATTGATTTCATTATCCAAACCAATAAGAAAGTTTTCTTGGGGTAAAGTTCAAGGATATTTAATCTTATCCTCTATGGAAGCTAAATAGGAAGTCGACTTGAAAAACATAGTTGTTGTTCAAAATTTTCCTGAAGTTTTTCCTAATGATATTCCTAGTTTTCCACCTGACAGAGAGATTGAATTTTTGATTGATTTAACACCTGGAACTGGACCAATTTCAATGGCACCTTATAGGATGTCACCTTCTGAATTAGCGGAGTTGAAGAAACAATTAGAAGAGTTGCTTGAAAAACAATTTATACGCCCTAGTGTATCACCTTGAGGGGCTCCCGTTTTGTTAGTTAAAAAGAAAGATGGAAGTTTTAGGTTGTGGATCTACTAATAATTATACATTGTTATTAATTAAATTATAATTATTAATGTAGAATAATTTATGTTTATTTATAAATAAATTATTATTATTTATTATAAGTATATCTTTATCTCATATTTCATTAGATTTTTATAACGATATTTTCTTTAAATTTAAAAAACATAATTTATTTCATAACGTTAATTATTTTTAATTTAACTAGTAGGAAAAAGGCACTTTGTGCCTGTATTGTATTAAAAGAAGTAAATAAATAAACAAGAAAAAAAAAAGAAATTACTCATAAAAAAAGTAATTATTAAAAAATAAATAAAAGATAAAATAAAAATTATAATTATTAATGTAGAATAATTTATGTTTATTTATAAATAAATTATTATTATTTATTATAAGTATATCTTTATCTCATATTTCATTAGATTTTTATAACGATATTTTCTTTAAATTTAAAAAACATAATTTATTTCATAACGTTAATTATTTTTAATTTAACTAGTAGGAAAAAGGCACTTTGTGCCTGTATTGTATTAAAAGAAGTAAATAAATAAACAAGAAAAAAAAAAGAAATTACTCATAAAAAAAGTAATTATTAAAAAATAAATAAAAGATAAAATAATTCATGTAAAAATAAAAATCAAAAGTAATTATTGAGAATGATATCTCTTTTATATATTAGTATAGAAGTATAGATCATTAGTTTCAAGTTCTTAAATTTAATTAAAAATATTTTTTCTAATTTTTAAAAGAAAAGGGTATAATAGTAAAAAAATGTGGAGATCAAAATAATTACCGAAAAAAATATCCCTTTTATATATTAGTATAAATATATTAGTATAGATTATACCATACAATGTCCAAGATAAATTATTATAATATATTTAATAAAGATTATAAAAAACATTGTTCTGCTGTGGCACTGTAATCGGACCCCTGTTATTATATTAAATAATTATCACAATATGGTTTCAGTTCTATCTTAGCTGACCCATAATATGGGTCACAAAGTAAAGATGTTATATGAGAAGATTACAGACACAATTTGAGTTGAATATTCTCTTCCAACATACTAGTAACATTCTTGGAAGAAATGAAGTTTCCTATGGATTTAAATATAGGGCAGTTCAGTGTCTCAAATTTCAATGTTGTGCTAAATTAAAAACACAATGCAGCATTCAGTGTTCCTCTGCAAGAATACGCCTGACTTCATTTGCAAGATCAATGACATGCTGGTCTTTGCATCCTAAAGAATGATTAATAGGTTAAAAAATACAATGTAAAAGGAAACATACAGAGAATGATTGAAATGAACCTCACCAATTTGTAGAAGAGCCTTTTCAAGGATGAAAAGATAATCTCTGTTTGGTCCTGCGGGACCTTTAGCCTCAACTATTTGCCTGTAGGATGGAAAAGAAAGGCGTAAGTGATGAGTCTAAATTTCCACAAACACAATCATAATGCATCAATCATTATCATATATAAAACAGACTTGAATCCTATGTTAAGGTAACTTGATTCCTAGAATCACAAAATTAACATGTTCAGTCATACATCAAAACAAGGACCATAGAATATAATATATTAAAAGTCTTACATTAAGTAAAATATGAAACTCAACATGATATTATCTAAAGAATTAGTTTTTATCTAATGAACTAGTCTTTTAGATCAAGTGTTTCTCATGTACTTAAGTTCTAACGTAATATGATAAAAATACTCAATTTTTATTATCTATTTAAGAGGAAAAATAAGAAAGTTTTTTGTGGGTAGCGCATATAAATTTCTCTGCAAAGTGGGAAGAAAGAAATATTTGTTGCATTTGAAGTTTTTTGTTTAAATTTTTTTAAAGAATTAAATACATTTACAGGATAAGAAATAATAAATAATTTTATTGCAAAATAATTATATAGTAAAAAGTTTAATTTATGAGTTATTTCGGGTTAATTTTATTTTTTAATTAATAATTTTATATACAATTTATTTCTTTCTTTCTATCTACTTTTCTTTCATTCAATAGCGTAGAGAAGGGTTGAGTAGATGTAGAAAATTTAAGTTTGATACTCATTGCTCCCGTTGTAATCTTTTACGATTGATAAAAAAAAATGCAGAGAGGAATTTCTTCACCTTTTTCCTTCTTATTTCTATCTATTAAAATAACACATGCATGTTTTCTACTCTATCTCTCTTTTACTTCTATTCTTATTTTTCCAACCTATTTCTCCGTTATGTTCTAAGCCAAACAAACCACAGCTTCAAAACAAACAAATCGTCACCTTTTAGATTTTCAGTACCAAGCCTGTTAGAATATCAAGCATAAAAGACTAATTCATATGCCTCCTGAAACCAAGAACTCCAAACCAACGTATAAACTTAACTAAAGTTAGCTTTTATATGCCACGTAAAAAGTGTGCAATTACATTACCTTGCAATCTCTTCAACAGATGCAGGGCCCAAATAATTTACGTTAGACTTCTTGTCCGAAGTAGCTATATATCTGTAAAATGTACATACTGACGTAAATCATTATTATCCATGCAAAAGGTGAAAAAGTTTTAAGGTTGTCTCTTTCACTTACACCAACACTCCAGTAACGGCTGGAGAAGTAGCATTAGGGTCCTGAAACAAATTTCGGTAGATGTTTACTCTCACAAGTGGAAGAGGAGTGCAAGTAACACACTCTATTATCAGTTAAAATTTATTAAAAATTACAAAAGTAGAATAGTCTCATTAAAGAAGACATGAGATCTATGGAAAATTATGTTTACTAATAAATTTCAACCAATAATAGAAAATGTATTTAAAAGAGTGTGTCAAAAAGTGAGTTACTAATGGAGTAATTACTACAATAATATAAAGCAGAATAAAATAATGTAGTCAAAAGAAAAAAGTCAGCATGTGGAACTTACAGTGTAAAAATCAAGGTATTCTCTCTTGTCGTATTGCTTCTCCCTAACCTCCAGATGCTGTGAAGTAATTACACTTGAATATATCAATCTAAAGTACTGATACTTGATAAAAGAGCGAAGTGTTGTTTATATGATCATGTTAACTGTAGCAACATCAAAGATGTGGGCTACTATCAAACATGTCAAATCCACAGGTGCTTAATAAGAGAGCATAATAATATGATTTCCATATAATATAAGCAATTTTGTGAAGAAATTATGCAAGTTTGATATTATTAAATAATCATGACATGGTTCATTTGGTGGATGTTAAAAGGGGGTGGGAGTGCGAGTCGGAGGGTTGTGTAAATACCTTTATCTGCAAGTTTAGATTGATGGAAAAAAAAAACTACATAATGTTCTGTTAGTAAACGAGAAGCCAGAACAGAAATGAGGGCTTTATTAAGTCCAAAAACAAAATTAATAAGGAGATATAATAGAGGAATCACTCTCCCATTCCCATAGCATCAGTGTTGGAACCAGAGACTATTATTATTATTATTATTATCAAAAGAAACAGGGTTTGGCAGCACATTGAGATACTATTGCTAAGGTAATAAGACAACATTTCAAGGAAGTCCATCCAAACATCATTGCTCAGTAAACACGGAGTCATTTGCAGACCAAAAAAAGGCTAGCAAAATGTCATCCAATTACAAATGTTCAGCGAAAGTATAGTACTGCTCAATCAGTAGGAATATAGATAGGAAAGATCACAAAGCCTAGCCACTGAAAAAGATTTTAACTCATGCATAGTGTGCACTGTTCAAGCTTGAACTTAGTTTTGAGTGTCTCTTTTTATAATGTTATCAGTTTACAATGGTGATGTTCTCATTGTTGTTCAATAATACTTTCAGATCTAATCAACTTCTGAGCTTATGTCTAATACCATCAACAATTTATTTATTACAGAAAGAAGTCAATATTACAGCTTCAACTAAATTTGATAATTGTGAATTGATTGAGAGTAGCTCTGCTTTTTATTTATATTTACATCACCACATAACTGAATCCCTACAATTCAGGGATCAGAAGAATTATTTATATAAAGTGTTCAGAATTTCCTGATCTAAATATATATACAAGCAAACAGATCAAAATACACAATGAAATAAGGTAACTAGGAAATAGGGAAATCTAAACATTTAAAAAACTCTAACCAAACAACAACATCAAAACGTTATCCCACTAAGACACTCTAACCAAATACCAACTTAATCCAAACAATTTAAGCAAATGAATTCAAATGATTAGCGCAAGAAAATATCTCAACCCTCTTTTATTTCAAATAAAGTGGAGAAATGAGTAATCTTACCATGAAGATTAAAAAACTTTAAAACAGACAAATACTAATCTTATCTTGTTATATCAAACAGTCACAACACAACTCCCCAGTAATAGGTGTCCTAACATAAATCAATATGATCTTCTATCATTATGAGATAAATGCTTCTTCATTAACACATCCATAATGGTTATGAAAGAAAAATGCTCTGCATAAATCCGTAAAGTATTATACGATGATCATTTATCTACTGGTTTGACCTATTTGAGATAGTATATTTCAGCTCAATTCATCTTAATTTATAGCAGAAAGTACGCATAGTAGATGATGAAAATAGAACAATAATGTACAATCACTAAGGTGACAGCAAACAATCCAGTTCGTAAGCAAGTCAATGTTGAGATAGGGAAAAAAGAATAATCTATTCATAAGTTTGAACTTAGGTTGCAGCAGAATAATATTCCATTAATATAGAAATATTTTTTTAAAAATTACTCATAAAAAAAGTAATTATTAAAAAATAAATAAAAGATAAAATAATTCATGTAAAAATAAAAATCAAAAGTAATTATTGAGAATGATATCTCTTTTATATATTAGTATAGAAGTATAGATCATTCGAGAACGTAAAAAGAGAAAAATTATGTGAGAAAGAAAGACACTGTTTTAGGAACAATTTTATATCTCTACTAAGGTAAGAGAGAGGAAAACTTTATCTCTTTAAAATTTTATATACTACTATGTTTATTTATTTATGTTATTTTTTATGTATATTTATCTAGTGGGGTGTCCTTAACCTCATTTATTTGCTTAATCTATGATTATTGTTATCCATAATAATTATTAATAAGTGCATAATTTTATACTGTTTAATTATTTTATAATGATTATCATTGTCATTTAATTAATTGGTGCTCTTAATATATTTTATTTACGTATATGTTATTTAGTTAAAGCTTAAATAATGATAAATTCTCAAATTTATTTAGCGTGATTGTTTTTATGATTGATTATAATATAATTTTGTTAAAATGTCTTTGACTCGTTTTAAAGATAAATATCATTCTATGGCCATAGAAGATAAAATTTGAATTATTTGTAGCTGGAGGTTTGACCTTGAGGATTTAAATGAGTAAAGAATGAAGGTGAAATATCTTATTGTTGGTTAAGGTGAAATATCCTTTTGTTGGTTGTTATTATAATAATGCTCATTTATCCGGACTAATCACTATAAGTATAATTCAAATTTTAATGTTAATCATCATTAATATATTTTTTAGTATTAATTATTGCTACGCATGTTATGTGATTATAAAAATTTATTTGAAAATTGTTCTCACTCCTTATGTTTCTTGTGTAATATAATCATAAAAATAATTAAATAAATATAGATGGATGTTCCAGCAATTCCAGCTCCTTTTCCTTCAGTAATTTCTGCAGTCTTCTCTAGCACAACATGGAGTGTTGATGTTGTAGCCAACTCAGTTACTTTCAATGGAGTAACTGTGTCTTCATTTACTTTTTCTCCAAATCAAGAAATTCCAACCGTGATAGATGGACCCATAGTTGTTATTTTTTACTTACCTCCAACAAATCATGTGAATCCTATTGTAAATTTGTTTCAACCACCCATGTAAATATTATAATAGAAGTAGAAAAAGAAACTATGATATGTAAATAAGCACGTATTGTAAATGTTTTCAATAATATATAATATATATGTAAAAGTAAGCAACTACGCACGTAGTGGTAAATATTTATGTATGATATGATGTATAATATTATTACTATACATGTGTTTTTTAGCTAGAAATATTATTTATATATATATATATATATATATACGTATATTACTGAGATTAATATTAATACGACTAGGCGTTACACATAAAATTTTGAATATATAAATTATATTTTAGAATATTATATATAAATATTTTAAATATATAAATTATATTTTGTACCAAAAAATTATTTTTATTTATTGATATATTTTTTAAAATTATTAATATTTAATATATAAATAATTATAATAAATAAAAATTAAATTAGATAAGAAATTAAAAGGATAAAAGTTAATATTTAATATATAGAAGTTAATTTTTTTTTTTGTAATGAATAACATTACTACTAGTTAATTATTCAAATTCATTATAACTTTCAAAACAATCATTTTACCTTTTTAATAAATTTTGTTAAGATTTTGTAGAAAAAGAATAAACTAGATTATGATTCTGAAATCGAAATATTAACAATTTGGTAAATTTTCAAAAGAAAAAACTAGAAGATCTTTTCTAAGATATAATTTATTTAAGATTTTAGATAAGAGAAAAATAATTAATTTTAATCACTCCCAACAAAAATGACACTTGAAACCCACTTATTCAATTCAACTGCCAAAAACAAAGAAACACAGCAAAGAAAATGCCGTTTTATAACAGAAAATTAAATCAGAGCCTTACTCGTCGGAAATTTAGACTAGCTTCGCCCAAATAGATTGGAAGGAGAATAATGATATTTCTTTTTATCCATGCAACTTATAACGAGAACAATAAAATTTGAATCTAGAATTATACATGTATATTACTCTAATCTTTCATCACTAAGTATACCAATGTTACATCTATGAAATCATCTTAAAAATAATAAAAAAATATATAATACAATAACATTAAAAAATGGTAATATTGTGTGTGCAATATCCATAATAAAATTAAATTTACAATCTCATGCAAACTATCAAAAGTTTTCCATCACTATCAACTCTACTGAATTACATCAAGAAGAAGCATGAGTGCATGCAAATCGACAAACAGGACATGTGGCATTATGCACAAACCATTCTAAAATACAACGATAGTGGCAAATGTGGGTACAAGGCAACCTCGCTGCATCATCACCTGACTTCAAATCTTCCAAACATACAACACAACTGTCCATTTCATGATCCATAACCTTAAACCTTTCAAGCATAGTTGTTCCTGCAGGCAGAGAATGTTGACCACCCTCACAAGCCATTTTTTGCACAAACTCACTCGATGGAACTTGTTCAAGATAGAAGAATGGAACATTCACTATGTTATAACAACATCGATCCTTTAACACCATAACATACATGCAAAAACACTTGTGAACTCCTAGATACTGAAGTACCCTATCACGTAACATTTTTGACAGCTTTGCAATCATGTCACAATCATGACCGTTGATGAAAGTTTGAGGCACACCGTAAGTTGCAAGGAAAATGTTTAACCAATGAAGATTTGGATAAGAGAAAAGGTCACCATTATTTGGTAGTGGTAACCCCAAAGAGTGAACTTGAACCTTTCTTTCTGGCTCAGAAGTGCCTACCACCATAGTTAGAGAGATGAATTTACTTCCTTGGGCATCCATTGAAGAGACTTCTAGTGTGAGTTTGTGCCAAGAAAATAAGAACATAGAGGGAAAGAAAATTGAAGGAGTTGTATTGAGAATGGGTCTAGAAAATAATAAAGCAAATCTAATGATCAAATATTAAATAATAAATATTCATTAAATTTTAATTTCTGTTTTAGATTTAATTTCAATTTATCATTTGATAGATGAGTATTTTTTTCATCTAGTAATTGGTCCTCGTTAAAGATTTTTTAATTTTTTTTATCGTTATAGATTTTTTTTTTATCTAGTTGATCCACGCTAAAGATTTGCACAAGCTGTTTCTTATCGTTATACGATGTTAAAGATTTTTGTTCTTGATTTTCCGACAAACTAAATTCTATTAAAATTATGATCATCTTGATTGATATTAGTTTAGATTTAATTTTTATGTTTAAAATTATTTTATCTTTGATTTATCTCTATTTAATATAATGAAATGTTTATTATCGATGATGAACATTTCTAACAATGTGTTTCACTTATTTTTATTTATACATTTTATTTGAATTTCAAAATACTTTAATTTTACAATGAAAAGTATAGAAATATCTTGTAGTTATTTTGAAATAAAGTAATTATAACTTTCAAATTTAATATTAATTAGGTTAAACTATTTTTTTTAGTTCTTATAATTTTGTTTACTTTACTTTTAAGTTTATATAATCTTATACTTATTTTTTTAATCCTTTTTAGTTCTTACATTTTATGATAGATTTTTTAATTTTTATACTTATGTACTTTTTAATCTTTATTGACATGAATGATATTCAATTTAACTTTGTATGTCTGAAGTTAATTTTTTTTTTGTTAGAATTACTTTTTTGATGCTTGTGTCTCTATTTTACCATCACATATAATATTATTGTCGAGACACTATTTTCTTATCCTCACAAAATTGAATATTTTTATCATGTTAATATAAAACAAATAATGTTAAAAAAAATAATGAGAGAAGTTAAAAGATTAAAAAATTACATGTATAGAGACTAAAAAGATATATCCTAAATTATAAAAATTAAAAATAATTGAAAATCATAAGTATAGAAACTAAAATAATATATTTTAAATTATATAAACTAAGAAGTAAAGTAAGTAAAATTATAAAAACTAAAAAATATTTTAAGATATTAATTATTAACCAACTATGCCATCCAAGAACATGAGACACCATTTAATTTAATTATTTACACATATTTAATATCAATTATTTTTTTTATTTGTTTATTTTTTTTTCATAAAATACATTGAATTACGAAATACATTTTGAAGCCAATTGTTATAAAGGAATAAATTTTAGGAAATATATAAATTTTAACCATTAGGATTAATTTAGTGGTTGGGTAAGGAGATGAATTAAGATAATTAGAAATATCAGGACCTAGATTCAATCCACCATCTTTATAATCTTTCATATCCTTAAAAAAAAAATACTATATAAATTTTAAAGTCAATCACTCTATATAATAATAAATAAAATAATTACCAATACAATTAATTGTCTTTAGATTAATATATATATTTTTTACTACGACCTTCTTCTTTTAAAATACATAAAAAACAAATATACAAAGGCTCAAAGTGCCTTTTTTCCGCCACTAATAAATTATAAAGATGATAAAAACTTAATTTCACAACATGTCTACTATGATTGCTAAATTTCACTTTGATTTCTCTAATTTTAAAAATATAAAATTTTAATTATTTAATTAAATTAATACTTATAAATTATTAAATTTTAACATTTAAGTGATATGATATTTGATAAATAATATTTAAAAATAAAAAAACCATGTTAATAAAATTTATTAATAAAATAAATATCAATCATTATTAAAATAAATATAAACAATGATTTTTGTATGTTATTTTTTTATTTTTTTTATTTTTATATATCACATCAATAAATAACATGTTAATGTTAATTAAGTGATGAGGTTAATGAAAAATTTCAAAGTTTAATGGTTAATGAATAAGTGACTTCTAAAAAACTTATTTATATATATTTTTTATTTTTAATTAATATTTATTTTAAAAGAACATTGTTCATTTGTTATACGGTGATGTTCGTGAATTTCGTACCATTTTTTTTTCTCGTAACAAATAGCATTGCTTAGTTAATTATTCAAATTCATAACAACTTTAAGTCTTTATTTGATTCAAAGAAAATAAGAAATTTTAAAAGAGGGACAAGATAGGAGTTAAAAAGTTTGTTTGAATGAAAATGATAAAGTAACTTTTTTTTTTTAAATTTAGTTTATATTAGTCTATAATGAAAAAGAAGAATTTTAAAAATTAATTTACTTTTATATTTTTATAATTTTAAATTTAATAACATAAACTAGAATATTTACATATTTTATTAAACATATTCTAAAATCCTTTTTTTCTTCTTTAAATCTCCAAATATTGGAAGAAAGTTAAAATTGAATTGAGAGATTTTGTTCTCCTTGCATAATTAAAATTAAACCAAACGATAAGAATTTTTAAAAATCTCTTTACTCTCCTCTATTTTACCCAATCAAATATTATGTAAAAATAACTATTTTACCCTTTTAATAAACTATTTTTTAAGATTTTCAGAAAAAGAATACACTAGATTATAATTCTGAAATAGAAAAATTAACAATTTAGTAAACTTTAACAAATAACTAGAAGATTTTTCCAAAAGATAATTTATTTTAGTAAGATTTAGATAAGAGAATAATAATTTATTTTAAACACTCCCTACAAAAATCACACTTCAAAAACCCACTAATCCAATTCACCTTCCCAAAACAAAGAAACAGAAAAGATCAACAGAGCCTTGGTCGCTAGAAATTTAGAAAACTTTAACTGAATTGATTGGAAGCAGAATGCCGATGTTTTTTTTTTCTTTTTTTTTTTCTGTTAAACTTATTATTTGTAGAAATTAAACTAGAATTCGAATATAAAATTACATACATATATATTACTTTAATCTCGCACACCATTTAAAATATAACGTTACATCTATAAAATCATCTTGAATCAAGAAAGTATATAATACAATTGATAACTGTAATAATAATAAGTAATTTTGTGTATACGTGTAACATCTATATATAAGAAAATTTAAATTGAAAATCTCATACAAACAATAAAATCATTAGAGTTACATCATACATGCATCAAGAAGAGGCATGAGTGCATGAAAATCGACAAACAGGACATGTGGCATTCTGCACAAACCATCCTAAAATACAATGATAGTGACAAACATGGGTACAAGGTAATCTCGCTGCTGCATCATCACCAGACTTGAAATCTTCCAAACATACCATGCAGTTCTCCATTTCATGATCCATAACCTTAAACCTTTCAAGCATAGTTGTCCCCGCAGGCAGAGAATGTTGACCACCCTCACAAGCCATTTTTTCCACAGTCTCACTCGATGGAACATGTTCAAGATAGAAGAACGGAACATTCACTATGTTATAACAACAACGATCCTTTAACACCATAACATACATGCAAAAACACTTGTGAACTCCTAGATACTGAAGTACCCTATCACGTAACATTTTTGACAGATTTGCAATCATGTCACAATCATGACCGTTGATGAAAGTTTGAGGCACACCGTACGTTGCGAGCAAACTGTCTAACCAATTAAGATTTGGATACGAGAAAAGGTCACCATTACTTGGGAGTGGTAACATCAAAGAATGAACTCGTACCTTTCTCTCTGGCTCTGAAGTGCCTACCACCATAGTTAGAGAGATGAATTTAACTCCTTGCACGTCCATTGAAGAGGGTTTTTTCGTTTTGAGTTTGCGCCAACAAAATAAGAAGAGAGAAAGAAGATTAAAGAAGTTGTATTCAGAATATGGGTTTTGAAAATTGTGGAGCTCATGTATTTATAATGCTCAAATAGTAAATAAAATATATTCATTACACTGTGGTAATTGATATTTTAGATTTGATTCCAATTTATAATTTGATCAGTATTTTTTATCTAGTAATTGGTTTTCGTTAAAGATTTTTTATCTAGTTGATCCACGTTAAAGATTTCCACAAGCCATTTCTTATCATTATATCATGTTAAAGTTTTTTTTTCTTTTTTTTCTTTTTCCAACAAGCTAATTTCTATTAAAATTATGATGAAATTGATTTATAATAATTTGGATTTATTAATTCTTATATTTTGATACACTGTATTTATTAGATGACGTGTCTCAATTATAATAATCTCTCTTCTCAGTTTTAAAAGTGTTTTTCCTTTGATTTATTTTTATTAATATAATATAATGTTTATTATCGATGATGAAAATCTCAAGTGTTTAATTTATTTTTATTTGAATTTCAAAATACTTTTATTTTACAATGAAAAGTAGTATAACGTGTAGATATTTTGAAATTTATAACTTTCGAATTTTCTTTCCTTAATTAAAAAAATTTCCGATCTTATCTTCCATTCTTTATATCATGCTCCTGATTATGTTTATTTTTATCTTCCAAAAAGAACTTATCTTCTCTCCCGCCCTTCTGTCGTTCATCTTGATTTTACTCTCCCGTCAATCTTTATCTCCCTCGAAACTTTTCTCACTCTAACAATTCTTCTATAAAACCTTATATATCTCAATCTTCTATATCAATTGTTTTGAATACTTGATAAGGATTAAATTTTTTGGATTTTCAAAAAATATAACTGATCCATTTCAAATTTAAAGGGCTACTGGGTCGCAAAGTGTTGAAAAGATAATTTAAATTTTTAATTTCAAAATTTCAAAATATTGTTAAGATATAAACCAATATTATTTATTTTGAAGATATTATTTAAAATTAGAAATATTATATTTATTTTAGAGAATTTTATGATTATCCGTCAATTTAAATTAATGAAATGGAGTATTAAATAATTTTTAATTTTTTTTAAATTTGTAAATTTGATCTATACATTAAGAATTTTAAATTCAATGATTAAATTATTAAAATTTGCTATAAAACATGAGTTATTAAACGGAATAAGTCTAGATAGACTCACTCTTAGAGTAAACGAATTCCTCCTCATATATATATATATATATATATATATATATATATATATAT